AGCCTTTTAGTGTATGCAAGCTTCGGGTGTACGCGCTCTGAATACATGTAGAGCACATGTTAGAACAGCACGCGAATAAAATGTTTAACCGGCAAGGCTTTAAAGCATGTGGAAATAATGTACTTTTGTGATTGTGAATAAGTCTTGTGAGAGTAACTCTACCGAATCAACATTTGATGTGAATGTGTCTCGCGAGCTTCAGTTAGAGCTGGAGCCGCGATACATAATACAGCGCATTGCTTGAGGTAGATGTGTTTTGTTAGTAAATGTTTCATTATATTACTAGTGTTGCCGCCTCCGTTCACTATTACACTACTGCATATATTGCATCCGACACTGGTGTCGCTTAGTTTTGTTTCACTCTTGCCGCGATGACTGAGTGCACGCAAACACACACCACATATGCGCATTGATATCACACGCACGTCGGCCACATCATTGAGAAAAGGAAAATGACAAGCAGCAGCTTCTAATTCGTTGTTAACATCGAAGTATACGGAGATAAAACAACGCAAGTATCGATAACAGTATCGTTTGTCCTGAAGCTTATCGGTACTCCGGCATTGACCCAATTACATACCGGTCCAAAAAATACTGGTTCTCGGTACCCATCCCTAGTAACAGCCCTATTGTGTCTTATTCTAATTACATTTATTGATAAAAGTTCAGAATTTGACATGAAAAAATTACGCACACTTTTAATAAGCTTAGGATAAAATAACCATTTATAAAAGCAAAATAATTCCCTGGAAACTTAAATTAAGATGGCAAATATCACAAATATGCTCATTTAAGTAAAAGCTAACAGAACACAGTTAATAATATTGATTCAGAATAAATTACATTTACACCACAAAAAAAAATCTTTTTTTCTTTCTGGACAAGTAACTTTTTTTTCTTTAACTTGGTCACGATGAATGACTGATTTACTTGTCCAAAAGACAAGCACGTCAAGGCTTAACGTTAAGCCCTGCTTCAGGTAAACCAACATACACTGTATTCCAAATTATGCACATGCCATTTTTGTTTGTTTTTCCAAATCAGTCAGTATGATTAAGGATTAATTTTATCCTCAACTATTATTTTACAATGAGAATGTTATTACATGTGAAAGAACTGATAATGTCAACAGTTTTATTGATATTTTGAAAAAAATAAATAAATAAATATGTTGTTCCAAATAATTATGCAGAAAGCAGTTTGTAAACATTCAAAAGGTTATAATGAACTCAAAACAGAAATCTGTCATGTGCGCAACATGGACAGATCATTTTTCCAAAAATAAACTATTTAAAACAAAAATCCTATTTACAGTTCAAGTTACATAATACATGCACCCTTCTTGGAAGTCCATGTATAGTTTCTGGCAGTATTTCATTTAAGGATGCCAGTATTGCCTCCCAGAGCTGTTGTTTGGAGGTATACTGCCGCCCACCCTCATAGATCTTCATTTTAAGGATGCTGCACAGGTTCTCAATAGGATTGAGGTCAGGGGATGATGGTGGCCACACCATGATTTTTTCTCTTTTTATGCCCATAGCAATCAAGGAATCGATGGTGTTTTTTGCAGCATGGGATGGTGTGTTGTCCTGCATGAAAATCATTTTATTTCGCAAGGCACGATTCTTCTTTCTATACCATAGCAGAAAATGGTCTGTTAGGAACTTCACATATCTTTCAGAGGTCATTTTGACACTGTCAGGGACCCTAAAGGGACCTACCATCTCACTTCCCAATAATCCAGCCCAAATCATCACTCCACCACCTCCTTGCTCACATCAGTCTTGTTGGAACAGGGTGGCCATTCACCAATCATCCAGAACTCCATCCATCTGGACCATCAAGTGTAGCACGGCATTCGTCAGTGAATAAAACAGTTTGAAAATTAGTCTTCATGTAATTCTGAGCCCATTGCAAACGTTTCTCTTTGTGAGTTTTGGTTAGGGGTGGTCGAAATGCAGCTTTATGCACAACTGCAAGCCTCTGAAGGATCCTGCATTGAGAGGTTCTTGTTCTTGGGGCTCCAGAGATGCCAGCAGCTTCAAATACCTGTTTGCTGCTGAACAGAGGCTTTTTTATAGCTGACATTTTAATTAGTGGTCGACAGATATGTGTTTTTTTGACAGCCGATGCCGATATCTTGGAAAGCAGGGTGGCCGATGGCCGATATAATAATTTATTTTAATTAATGTTCAAGAAATTTGAAATCATTTGAAAATGGATTAAAAAATAAATGTGTAAAATAAACATACTTAAACTTAAGATGACAAAGTATTTTTCACAAATAAATAAATATTTAATAAAAATCTAATTAAAAAGGAAGTAAACACTGTAACCAACAGGGCACTCAGTATTCTGGGAAGTTTGTGTGCATTGGGAATCATATTTTTTCAAACAAAGCCAAGGTAACACTCATTTTACATACAGCACACAGTGGAAATTACATGAATATGACAGTGGGCAAATGCATAAAGCGCAGCATAATTTGAAATCGCGAGTTTACGATTGCGTGTCTTCAGTGAAGCAGAACTCTCCTCCAGTCCACATTCAATTCGCACGGACTGACCGTCATGCAGAGAACACGCGATCATGCAGGATACAAATGCACACTTCACACGATCTCACAGCTGGATTCGACTAAGTTTGCAAGGTTTGTGAAATTAAATGTTCATTATTCATTCAAAGATTTGTTTAAATGATATAAATGCGTATTTGCTGAATGCTGACGGCAAACGAGAAAGTATTATAATGTTTGCCTTTCTATTACTAATAATATAATACTTTGTATACATTTTAATTTCCTTTCTATCTGATTATTAGACAGACTTCTATCCGTATTAGACAGAACTGTTAACGACGATGGCGAACAAGAGGGAGAATGTGAGAACTGTGTGCTCAGGGCGCTGCCGCTCTCAGCGCGGTCAAAATAAAACTCCCGCCTCGAACGCATCGGCCAAACAGAAAAACTTATCGGCCAATGCCGATATTTGAAAAATGCCAAATATCGGCCGATATATCAGCCTTGGCGATATATCGGTTGACCACTACTTTTAATAACATTAATTTGTCTGACAGAAACCTTTCTTAAGCCTTTATCTGATCAAATTCTTCTGTGCTGTGAATCACTCACAAATCTTTTGACAGTTCGATGATCTCTTTTCAGTTTTCGCGATATATCAATTGTTTTCATGCCTTTTACAAGACATTGCACTACTTCACGCTTTTCATCTTTAGAAAGATCTTTCTTCCTCCCCATATTTCATGAGAACTGACTTAATAATGTGGAACAACCTCTTTAAGTAGTAAGTTTCCCTTTAACGAAGATCACCTGGCAAACTAATTAACTAACCTGTCTAAGATTGATACCAGTTATCTTAAAACATGAGAAATAAAACAAACAAACACTAAAACCTGAATATTTATTTTAATGAAATCCTACTGATATGTTACTTGCATAATAATTTGGAACACGGTGTACATCTCTAAAATTTTATGTCACATAAGATATTTCACAAATCTGCTAAAATTCTCAAATGTTAAAGGGGTCATATGATGCGATTTCATTTTTTCCTTAAAATCGACGCGTTTCAAAAAGGCGGGGCATAGAGGAGAAACAATAATGTACAGTATGTGGAAAATAATGTGTTTTTTTTACTTTAAACCGCATAAACACATTTCATTACACCAAATACACCAAATAATGTTCTTTTTAGCAGCATCATATGACCCCTTTAAATGAGAATAATCATCCACTTTAAATAGTGTCACAGCTATTGAGAATAGTACTAGCAGATAATCAGATGCCACTAGCACCGAAGGCATAGCACTGGTTCTGCTCGTCCACTGCTTGCTTACATGTGCACTGAGCAAACACATGCTTGTAAAGCTAGAGGACATGAAAAAGATCTCAAAACTATAAATGAAAGCCTCTGTCTGATACACTTGTGTATAACTGTTATTGAGTATGGTAAAGTCACATCACGCATCAATATCACTGATTTCAGTACCCATATGCAGAAGCAGTGTCTGGGGAAAGTCTCACCTTCTGTAGCGCTTCCTGCTGTTCCGGGGTGAGGGGCGGCAGGCCGAGCTTCGAGGCCATGCTCTGTCCATTCTCCATCATCAGAGCCTCGCCTCCCTGCACAGAGCACAGGCATCTGTCAGACCTGATGAACGTGAGCTGCAGGGAAACTGCACATCTACTCAAGACACACACTGGACTGCAATACACGCTGGACAACTTACAGCTTTAAAACCATCTAGTTTAAGAGCAAACTCAAATTACATGAGTCATACAATACATCTGGACAATATTTCTATTGAACATAGTATAGCATAAATTATGCATCTTACGTGAATCTTTTACCATTTAATTTTTTTTACAAATGCATAAAAATATAAAAGCATTAGGATTAGAGCTGGAAACAAGTTCTCATATTTACATGACTGCAAATGATTCTAGATAATTTTGAGCTTGCTCTAAAACAGCTTTCTACATTTCAGCACATGTTGGACATGTATTGGATAGTTTAGCGTAGGGCTTTGTTAAAGACATTTTACACTGAACTGAAAAGCCGTTGATAATGAGCCTTCTGTATACATTTAATTAACAGGCTTCTCACTAGGGCTGTGCAAAAAATCGAATGCGATTTTCATGCGCATCTCGTCAGTAAAGCCGCTTCAAGTGATTAGTAGTAAATCTCCAGCACGTGCTTTCAGATGGAGCGGCATTTACTACACAGAACCGTAGTTCACTGACAAGCTACACAAAATCGCGTTCAAA